CTAATGACTGATGACATCACTTCTTAACAACCGAGCCACCGCTTCATTATGATAGTATCATCATCAACTGTCTTCCCTTAATTCATTTACTCATTGTATTATTTATTTGTCACTATCAATCTTTATTTATATATATAATTGTTATTTTCATTCAAGTCTCAATATGTAGCTCCACCGGATATGGAAACACGTAATCGTGAATTAATTCAAACAGTGGAAAATGATTTATTTGATAAAAGTGGCAAGACAGCTTTTATTCGATTTGCTGATTTATCACGTCGTTATCGTTATAAACAAATCAATGCTACAGCTTACTTGGAAGGCTTAATTGGTCTTCTAAATGTCAATACTGTGAATCAGAATGATGATGACAGTAAGTTGTTGTATAATGGTTTTTTGTTCCCTCTGAAAAATTTGTAGAAATTTGGATGACGTATTTTTTGAGCTTATTTATTGATTACTTATTTAAAAACATAAATATTAGTACAAAAAACACCAAATATACATGTGCCATACAACAAAAATATTGTTGTGAAAGGATAGAGTATGGAAGGTGAGTGTAACAAAAAAGAACAATGAACAGAAATTAGTGTACGAGGGTGATACTACTACTACTACTACTACTACTACTACTACTACTACTAATAATAATAATAATAATAATAATAATAATAATAATAATAATAATGGAAGAAGCAGTTTGGGTAGGAAAGATACAACTAGAAAGAATTCGCTTCAGTATCGTCACTGGCTTTTCTTCCAAGCCATTTCTGATAACATTTCAAGCCACTGTGTTGCACCATCTCTAGGGCCCCAACCATGGAGTCGTGAATGTCCAATGGACGCCAGTTCTGTACAGCTTTCTCTAATACCATGTTGTGTACTGACTACCTCTCAGCCCTTTCCTACCGGTTCCATCGTCGGCAAATGACGGACGATGTAGAATTCGCTGGAACGACATAGGCTATGTCCAAGCGACCGAAATCGGTGTTTCAAGATAATGACACTGATGCATAAGATAAGCACTGAGTTTCTATAGGCTCCAACTCGTTTAGTCACGTCGATGTGTGAGTATGACCATAAACGAAGATTTTTACGTAATGAAATTGTGAAAAGCTTGCTAAAGACCGAGAAACCTTGTAGTCGGAGCGTGCTAATGAGTTGGAGTTTCTTGCGGACTTCCACCTTGTTAGGTGGACCAGTTGTCACCGGCCATGGAGGGCAGGACAGTCAGTTCGCCATCTCCAAGGCAGCAGACCTTTTGAACTGTTCCTCGGCAAACTGCCTATTGTCTAAGACGTTGGTAGATGTTGTTGATTGGCATCCGATTAACTTCACATATTGTTTCACTCATACCAGACTTGTGGCCACCAGTGATGCGGATGAGTTGGACGAGCTTCCGTCAGTCAACAGCAGTAGCTGCTACTGTCGACTACAAACAATTACTATCATAGCTGACTCCTCTTCATCACTTATATTTCCATGTGCTCTATATCATTGTGTTTTATTATATAATCCTAAAGTATTGCTCTTTTTTTAGATATTCCATACTGGATAGGTCCGATGATTTCCTTATTGCCTGATATAGGGCTTCAACGTGCCTTACTTCGTGCTCTGCAAGCACAAGGATCTCCACGTATTCCAGTTGATATGCAAGAAGCTTTGTTAAAAAGTGGTCATCAATTTAAGCGCAACAAAATCCCTATATTAGCTCTTCCTCCATGGTCAAAGAAAGTCCTAAAAACAATGCAAACATGCCAGGAATGTGGTCAAGTAAGTTGGTTTTCATGATTCTTTTTTAAACAGTTAATGTTTAACATTTGCTGCCTTATGGAAAATCTTAATTGATGATATTTATTTAATTGAATAGTTTAAAATATCAACAGGATAATTTTGTGGTTTGTATTCATCACAAACTGACCTCACCTGGAGTTCTATTGTAAACCAAGGAACATTATACAACTTTTACACCCTGGTAAAGAACTCAGTACTTTCAACTTAAGAATTCACAAGTCATCGAACTCATGACCTTCAGGTGTCGCTACGAGTCCTGGACCAGTGAGATGTAATAATGCCAATAATATTGATGTCATTAGTATTAGAACAGATCGACAGAAGATAATATGATTCGAGAATGAAATGTTAGGTTGTGGAACAGAATCTATGAGTTTTAAAATAGTGAATGTATATTCACTATTTTGACCGATTCTGAGCCATGTCACCCAGTGTCTCTAACTGTCAGTTACAATAATGTATAAACGTGAACTATGCAGTTTAGTCCAACCGTCATTAATTTCATGAATTGCTATCACGTTCTGGTTTAGCAACCTTCTAGGTCTTTCCAACCTCCTACACCGGAGGCGATCTAACGATAATGTTTTTTAATTATCCAACTAACAGAGTTTCATCTTGATTAAGTTACTAGATATTTGATTGAGGTCTAGAATAATGATGATTCAGATGACTAATGTTTACTAATTAAAACTGTGTTATAAATGTACCATTTGATGAATAATCGATTGATCGTCTATTTTATTGCTAAGTTTTTTTCTTTTCATTAGGATCTTGTGATCAATGTTTTGATTATCCAGTAGTCCCTGAGTTACAAAACAGTTATCTAACTAAATACTGCCCCAGATGTTAACTATACCATTCAATAGTCTTCTAAAACATTGTATTAATCGTAGTATTTTCGAATTTGCTATTGTTTCTTTGTCAACAGGTTTGTCTACGAAGTGATCTACCGACTCATATGGAATTGGCTCATTCTGTGTAGTATGAAAAAAAAAGATAATCCAAGGAGGAAAAAAACTTGTCATAAACTTACCGATCACTCGTTTAGTATTCTTTTCACAAACAAATACACATCAACAATACAGTCTTTCGTGTTTCGGATCATATCTAATATGAATTATTTTCATAAATTATTTTGTTTGTTTCATGGTTTATTTTTACACCTATTTGTCCACTCTCATATGTGAGTTATTACTCCTCGTATGTTCACAGTCATCTGAATGGTGTTGGTAACAATTTTTGATTAGTCTTAGATATGTCTGTATGTTTGTTTATATGTGTATTTACATGAGTTTATACTTTTATGTTCATCCAATTGTTTTACTGTGTATAATAAGTACGGTGATTAGTAGATTTGGGAGTTTGAAAAGTGAGTTAGTATGTTTGAGTTACTTAGCTTGAAATTGATTTGCAAAAATCCTTTTCTTTTCTATTTTTAAACACTTTATTGTTTAATTTTTGAACAAATCTATTTCTTCTTGTTCCTTTGACTATTCAATTTATTCTTTAGTAATTTAGTACTGTTTATATTGTTAAAATAACCGGGTAAAAAGCTGATCATCATATACGATATAAATATATACATGTTGTTTTTCATTTCATCATTTTTGTTTGTTTGTTTGTTTTGTACAATGCTTGATTGAATCTGTTTTGTAATCTATGCTTCAGTAATATCGAAATGTATCTAGGCGTAGTTTATGCCTGAGAATATGCGCATATTTCATACGTTTAATTTGACTGCATACGGGCCCATGGACAGCAGGGATCTTCTCCATATATAAGAAGTCCATCCTAAATATTGCGTACTTCACTCTGCCTCATGGGTTCCCGCATCGGACTTTAAAACCTTGAAATACAGAGCTAACTCTTTTAGAACTGTTCACAGAAATGTGATCATTCTAAAATGGTTGTCCTCTGAGTACTTCATCAGACCGTTAAACTCATCTCTAATCCAATTTCCGGATTCCTCTAAAGGTTTTTTTTGACAGTGTGAACCTTTGAGAATTAAAAATCATCCTCATTCCCTTAATAACACTTGAGATCATATCGAACACAAATCTATATTGGGGTATAGGAACTGGATATATTACTTACTTCATATCTCTATAACATTAAAACCCAATGGTACATTACTTTGTCAAATCAATCATGTAGCTGGGTCATCTCTTTGCTAAATATGTTGGTGATATTTGGTCTGAATCTCCTCGTCGAACAGCATGACATTAAGGTTACCATTATTCAGGGACTTGGCTGTCTTCTGAAGTAACTCTTCTGTGTATTGTAGTGTCAGTTATTATGCCAAGCCCATATACCTTATTCTAGCTTCCGGACATCCCATTTTATTCATTCTACTCGAGCCATATATTGACCTTGTTATTTATTCGCTTATCAATCTAGACTGTTTTTATATGAGCGTATATGTTTGTGCCCTTCTTATTCCATTAATCACATGTCTGTAGCTTTATTTTGTCTGACTATAAATATTGAGTAATGCCTGGCTTGAAATGGAGTTGGCTTCCCAGCCATCTTCCATACGCGTCATTTTTGCTTTGCTATGCTTCATTCACTTCATGTACGAAATATACGTATTCTCAAGTCAATTCTCGTTATTCGACTTATTTAATTCCGTTATTGGATAACGCGATTTAAGTCGACGATGATATACGAGAATCAGTGATAGCAAACATTCGTACGCTCTAAATAGTAGTCTGATTAAACGGGCCGCTAAAGTATAAAACAGTAGCTTACCTAAAATGATTCAACCATCTCGTATGTAACTGGTGGGGTATAGTTTCTATCTCAAGCATGTTTACTTCGATATGGACAGCGGGATCGTCTAACTACCGTTTCAAATAAACGATATGATTGAAAATCTAATACATGAGTTTGTATATCGTAACATGAGTTGTAATATATATTAGTCATCACTTTTTATGGAAAACTAAGAAAATTAGTGCCCAGTATTTTTATACAAAAATCATAAAAATGAAATCTTAATCTTCTGTTTATATCATTTCTGAAGTAGATAATCCGTATGACTACACATGTTAAAAATGTTAGTTTCTAATGTAAAATCGTTTTGACACTCACGGTAATCTACTTTGGTGTGTTTTATATATAACTGGTTATTCTTGTCATTTATAAATTTTCGTTTTATATATATGACTGTTCAGTATATTTTATGAAGTATTTTATCGTTTATTTCAGTATATTCTAGTGTATAATGGTACATAAGAAACGTCCAAAGTCGGTACGGAATGCACGAAATGCAGCGCTTGCATTGGAGGAAAAACGTTACACCAAAACCCCACATACCATGATTTTCTCACGTCCTGGTGTTGGGAGTTTAGTGAAACAATTATCTCTCGATGTTAGAGAGATTTTCGAACCCTTTACAGCTAGCCGTTTACGTGTGACCCGTCAGAATGTACTGAAAGATTTTATTACTATCGCTGGTCCACTGAACGTAACACATTTGTTATATTTCACACACCCTAATGATGAGAAACGTGAACAGAAACGTGCCCGTCGTTTAGCTAAAGCTTCTGCAAAACGGTTAGAAAATGACAATTCTTCAATTGAACAAAGTTCGTAGTTTCCCATTTTGTTTGATAATTTATTTCATTGAAATTGCTTTTTCGTTTATCTAATGTTCATGCTACGTTAGTGTTGATGTATGTTATTTTATTCTAGCTTGGTGGGTTAATTGATTTACATTTCAAAGCTTATCTATTCATGTAGACTCCATGGTTGATTTCGGTAAGGTATATAAGTTCCGTTATTCGACTATCAGCCAGTGATTAAATTTTCGAAGTCGTGTTTTCAAAGAGACAGGTCGTTTTCACAGACACTATAATATATCTCCTCATTTCTAATGAGAATCCAAGTTCTAAATCTATCGCAGCGCTTAACTACACAATCGAGATACATGCGTAACTGAGATCTACAAACAACGATTTTTATAATGAACGGTTTTGTTATTTAGGAATATATTTAGAAATTGATCAAAAATCTCACTCTTTAGCAAATAACGCATGTGTATGTCTGGTAAGAGAAAGGTTTCCTGTAATTATAACACATAAGTAGGTACAACACATGATAGCGGAAATGATTGCTGATGGCTTCTTCTAATGTTAACAACCATTTATCAACAATCAAGATGGGGACTAAAAGTACACAAATATGAGAGCTGTTTCATCTAAGCGAATATTCAGCAAATGTACAGAACTGGAATTAACTTTTACAAAAATTGGAATGTAATTACACAAAACGATATATTGAATGTTTGTAGTTTGTGTGAATACTGTAGTATATTACGCTATGAAACTGGTTACTGAACATTAACAAGTAGTATAAAGTAATACACAAAAAATGAGTTGAGTCAGACGAGATGCCTAACAGAAAATGTAAAGTAATTAGGTTTCACATGTCTAACTTAAGAACTCTTTAAACATCAGCGTTATGCACTTAACTTACTATGATAAAACTAACAGTTTCGATGGTAACTTATATAATGCAGATAATTCGCCGTATATTTACATGTATCGATCTGGGCTATTTTCGCGAATTAGCACGAAATATGAATATTAGTAAATAGGTTCGTGTTCATCAGAGGTTATGTAGTCCTCAGATTTTTATTTTATTGCCCGGTGTGTTGTAGACTGTGTACTAACGCAAAAGTGGTATTTACATTGGATTTCTTTAAACCTTACAGTTTCCAGAGCAATTGAAGTGATTAACCATAAGTTTAATTTCCCTTCTTATTCAGTTGACTTATCGTTATGACCTCTATTTCTGTGATTTAAATCTATTATACTGCCACTTTTTTTCCTCTTAAACAGATACCACTGAAATTCAAGAAGTAACCAATAAAAGCTGTAGTAATCACGGTGGAGTTTATCTACACATGATTCGTGTTCCGCATGGACCTAGTCTTACTTTTCGTGTTGCTGAATATAGCTTGAAACGTGATATACAAACTTTGGTTCGTCGAGTTTTCGATAGTCGTCAGTATAGTTCACCGCCTTTGTTAGTAATGACTGGATTTGGTATGGGCGGTACGAGCGCGAATACATCCGCTCCATTGCCACATCTACGTTTAGTCGTAGATATGTTTCAAAATTTACTGCCTCCATTAAATGTTCCGAAGGTTTGTTTTGTATTGTATTCATCAATTTTTTGATAACTTTTCTCAGTCTATATATATAATGCTGGAAACTGTAATGTATATTGGTCATCAAGCTCCTCCTCTTCTGTAAGCTGTTTGATTTAATGAATATTTTGTAGTAATTTGTTACTTGTATTATTGTGTTTTGATACTTATCTATTTCTAAGCTTTTAAATAGCTTATTACTCGTTATGCGCTTAATCGTTCCAAATTTATCATTAATTAATGATTTTTCGCAATACTCTAGTTTTGTATTACTATGGATGTACATATTGAGATTTCATGATTGTATCGTTGTGTGGTCATACATTCTAAGTATATTATTGTGTGGTTTTTGATAAATGATTGAATTGAGTACAATCTAGAACTGACCTGCTTCTTATTATTGTCTTCTGATTGGCTACTGGGTCAGAAGAGAAACTCGAGGACCAATATACATTAAGATCTTGAGCGTTGTTCAGTGATTACTGTATCAGTGAGTATTTCGAAGGTCAACCGCCAGTACTAATGGGAATATAGGTGAACTAATTAATGATCAAACTAGACAGCAATCATAAAACTTCTCTACTGTAATTATGTCCAGATCATATTGGCTTCAAGCGAAGTCGACCATCAGTATACGGTTTTATCTTCATATTATCTACTTATACTACTTAGTAATTCACCAATAGTTTGCATATTGATTGTAGTATCAATATTATGTATTCGTTACTCTGATATCTATCAATAAACATAGTAGTAGATTAATAACAGCACTGTTAAAGAAGTTGCCAATCAAAGAACTAGTCAGTTTCATGAAAGATTAGTAAAAATTCACTATCATTTACAATTCCGTTAAATTAAAGAGAAATATATTGTTTAGTAATTAGATTGCTATCTGGAAACAAAATATATTTAACATCATCATCTGAACGCTGAAGTTTTCCATGTAAACAATCATTTAGCGAGTTCAAAGCATCCAATCGACCATTTAATTTTTTTCCTCTGTACTAAGTATGCGCATGAAATTGTGACCTTTCATGTTACGCATAGCAACTAAACATTGATATAAACTAGAATCACGTCTGTATCCCATCCAGTAGCAATAAACGGAAAGGAAATTAAAAGGAAGTGTTTATTAACCTATTACGTCACTTTAATCATTTGTCAAAGTGAAAGTATTTGATGTTCAGATGTCATTCCTGCCTTGACGCTTCTGTTATTTTGTTATCATTTGATAGTTTTTCTTACTATATTTGTTTTATTTAGCTTAAACTAAGTACAGTAAAACGAGTTTTACTTGTCAGTCGAGAAGTTGACACTGCATACATCAATACTACTACTAATGACAATAGTAGTAGTGGTTGTACTGGTGACGACACAAAACAGCACCAACCACAGCAAGTGAATGATGTAATTTACATTCGACACTTTCATATTCGTACTGAAAATCGTTGTATAAGCCGTGCACTACGACGTCTTGGTGTTGGCGGTGCAAAATTGAAACGTCGATGTGTTGATAACTCTGACTTGAAATGTGGAATTGGTCCAAGTGGTTCAGGAAAAACAACAGGTGTACCGAATTTAGCGAAATATTCATCTATGGACGATTTTTTAACTAAGTAAGGAAGTAATCTTTGCTACTAAGAACAATAATTTTTGTAATGTTTCATATACTGAAGTAACTTTAAATATTTATCGGTGCAGGAGGTTGAAAGAAATCTAAGGTCAGTTATTCGAAAACATCCGATCAGTAAATAGTGACATTGACTGTTGAACTAGTCCGTATAGTTAGGTGAAGACTGCTGGTTAGTGATATTGAGTGACAAGGCTGAAAATCGATTGCAATAGCGTCGACGCATTCACTCGTAATCTCTCCTCGGATCTTGAATCGTATGATTCTTTGTCCTACAACCTAAATTTTTCTATTACTACTGATAGTCTTGTCTCTCTTTACTGATATGATATGTCAAGTTGAACCGATATACATGTGTTCAAGGTTCCGTATTGCTTATGACCGATTGAAAATATTTTTGGTTGGACAGTATGTTTTAATCACAATGTTAAGTGATATACCTGTTCATCAATTAAATCAGTATTAGTTGATTAACGTAATATTAACTACTATTTCCTCACCTTGTCTTCTTTGTGACAGTTAGGTCTTATTGGTTAGAGGCGATCTCAGTCCTAAAACATTTAAGTTAAACCTTGAATAATTCACAAGTTATACCTCTAATTATGAAACTGCTTAACATTTGTGTTGATGTTTATCAACATTCTAGAAACACTTGTTAAGGAGTGTCAACTATGTAATGTGTTGGTTGAAGGTAATCGACAAGAACCTATTGCTCTAGGTTTCGGGCTATTTGTCTTTTATCAGTAAAGTGTAATCTCGAGGTGATAGATGCTGCCTGGTTGATTCGCTTTCGTGTCACCCATCTCCACATTCAAAGACCTTACCGCTGATCAGTCCTCGCCGCAATTGACCACCTGTTAGACTGAGTCATTCCAGTATTGACATCAAATTGAATCCGCCTAGGATGACCATTCCCCCTGACATTACAGGCACAACTTTCTGGGTAGTCCCGGATAACATGAGACCCAAATCTAGGGTTTCCTGTCGACTACCTCCAAACACTGCCTTAAATCTCAAACTTACTTTTCATGTCTCTTCTGAATTCTTCATGTCCCTTTTTTCCTCTTTCCAAATTTCTTTCACTGGATTATACTCTTTAAATAACATCTCCAAACCCTAATCTTCCCGATTACTGCTTATACTCTTATTACCTCTACCACTACGGGATTTGAATTGATAACTGCATCTCTGTGCTAAGGTGATGTGGCAACTTGAACTGATGTACGTACGTACGAAGTTCTACGTTGTTACTGACTGACTGACAAACTTACTCACACGATGTCGAGTCATTTAGACTGGTATCTATATCAAATTTTGAATAATAAATTTTGATAAGCAATAAGATGGTTTTGACGTACAGTACATTAGTCACTACCCAATAACCAGTCAGTTGTAAAAGTGTCAAATAGCTTGTAGAAATTTCGTACCTATTCCCGCCCAAACCACTTTCAATATCAATTAATTAATGTTAACTCTGTCTGGTGAAAGGCGTTTCAAAACAAATAATCTTTTAATAATATTGCTTGTAAATTATGTACTAACAACAGTAAGATAATTGTTGCTCTGTCTTGTGGCCATTTTCTAATATTATTTGACGAAACCACTAACCAGGATTCTGATTTCCATGGCTTAGTCTCTTTCTTTCTCTTCGCGTTGACCGATTATGCGTTCAACCAGCACTAGTCCTTATTGGTCTTCAATTCTCTAATTATTCTTTCTGCTCGGTCACTTGAGTCCAGAATTCAGTAATCAGCCTCCACTATGTTATATTATATTTCATCAGCATGGGGATATGTGGAGGTTGTAGTATCTTCAAAGTTGAATTCTAAGCCGGACAGCCAACGAAAACCTAGAAGCACTGAACGGCCGTTTGTTCTAGTATGGTACACAGCAGTACGCATCCATGACCACGCGCAATACTCGAACTCAGGACCTTCTGTCTCGCGCGTGATTGCCGTGATCCATGATGTTGAGTAAGCTTGAGGTGGATAACTGTCTCACACCCGACGGGTATTGGATGACACTGGTCACGGCTTCTCACTAAAACTCCAAAATTTACATCTTGAATCTAATCACTAGTGAGCATATGATTGTTATCAGCATGGGGATTTGTAAAGATTGTAGTATTTTCATAGTAGAATTTATGACCTAGATTATATACAATCTTACCATTCTACATATTCTCTAAAAAATAAAAATTATTCATGATCAAATCAAAAGTTGACTGTGAATAGTAAAACTGGTAATAGATTCAGAATAATGATTCGCATGACAATAGTTAATTGGGTTAATTGAAAGATTACGATAAAAAAAAATAATTAATTGTATATAACAAGTAAATCTTAACCGTATATAACATTGGATCCTGAAACGATCTTTAACATAGTAGTATTCCGTTTCTATTGTAGGGACTAATCAACCATTGGTTCTTGTTTTTTGTTTTTACATGAAATTCAGTCATCTTTATTGGCCATTAAAAAAACAGTTCGAACTGGCAGAAAACACTAATCTTTTACTGGAATTACATACTCCCAACTACTGCGTAGGAACTCTTGGAAATTCTCTTTTTTTATCCTTCTAATTATTTGACAAGATGGATTCATCTGTTTTCGATAAAGTCAAAATTTGTATATTAATAACTAGAAACTGGCAAAATTTATTTTGTTGTTTGTTTGTATCTTCCCATTGATCAATCTCTTATTGGTATATGTGCATCCTGTGCGGATCGCCTCGATATTGCCTTAAATCACAAGCACTATTGGGTTCAAGTCCCGCAGTGAACATCAACTCTGGAATGCAGATACATCCAACTGATAAGTCCCAAACAGGACGAAATGCGCGTCCTGGATTACACTGGTCACCGTCCGTCTTTGATTATAAAAAGTGGCTAGTTGAAATTTTTTTGATTTTATGCATATTTTGTGTTATAATGTACGTACACACACACATCTTCGTTCTTAATTGAATTCAATCGAATATGCTCATTATTGTCATTGTTTTCATTTACAGAACAGGACTTTTATCCGATTCAGCATTATCAGATATTTTATCAGATATGGAAGAAGTTGATCTAGTTTCAGATGTTCACTTGCCAAGTTTTGGATTCGCTAACGCAGATGCTATACAATCACGTAAACGTAAACATGGTCATGGCACTAGTTCAACACATGGATTAAAACATTTAGGCACAGCTAAAAAAGCTACAATTCGACTTACTGAAATTGGACCAAGAATTACTTTAAATCTAATCAAAGTAAATTGATATAAATTGTTCCTTTCTTTTAATTTACTCATACTTTCCTTTAATATTGTAGTTTTATGAGTGTCTGTCTGCTAAACAAAATGTGATTGTGTAGCGGAGCAGTACATGTGTATTACTCTGTAGCTCTGAAATATGAAATTAGAAGACATGTTCAAGTCTTAGCTTTTTGATCATGTCAGTCGTCGGAATATTCCATATTGAGGTGGTTTGAAATTTCGTAATATGTGCTTAACTATTGTTTGCATTGTCAAGAAATGTTAGCCATTAGAGCAAGATCAACCTGAAAACACCATTACTTGATATTCGGGTGCCCAGACCGAAGCAGGTGGTTTTCTTAGGAGACCACACCCCGAACCTTTGACCTAAAGATCTGACCCACAAGGCAGTGGAGCAACGTCAGGAGATGCAGTCCCATGGTAGCCGGTGACCAACGATTGGTTCATACGCCATTTGTTTATTCAGGATCCTGGAGTCCATGTGCACCATTGGTTTGGAATCAAGGTTTCCCAACTCTCCTAGGTGGACTCACCGTGTTCACCGGCCTGGTTAAAGCTCCGGACTTTCGCTTTTCGTCCTCTCAATTTCGTAAACAACACTCCTGGTGTGAGAATGCAGTGGGTAAGACTTCCCTGGCAGAGGCTGTATACACGTGGCCGTGCGAGAGTATTTCGATAGGGAGGGCAGACGCTTCCCACTCTCAGCTGTACCAGGGCGTTTGGAGACTCGTATAATAACCACAATCAATAGTTTAAAACATTCGATAACATGACGCAGAATTTGTTACAGTGTCGTACATGGATACTTCGTTTCTCTTGCTCTAGACCTTGAGTTTCGCTTTTCTTTCATACGTATCTTTTCATTCTGTCATTTTGAACTATTTTTATGGCCCAGTATCTCCTTTTATATCATGTGCTGGTCGTTATTGATATATACGTGCGACCAATCCTCGTATGTAATCACCGACTTAGATTACGTTAGTGAATAACAGAATTGAATATGTTAAATACGAGAATTGATTTCGAATACTTATATTTCATACAATCGTTGATCGAAAAAGATAATCGGAGCGAGGGAGAGAGTGATCAAAACGGTTTGGAGAAGACATATTAGCCAACTCGATCTAACCAAGTGTGAATTTATATTTGTCAGACAAAAATAAGTCACAGACATGTGATGAGTAAAATGACAAATGCACACACATTCACTCACGCAAATACAGTCAAGGTTGATAAGCGAATAATTAACGAGGTCAAAATGTGACTGATGAAGCATGAATAGATTGGCCTATCCGGAAGGTAGAATAAGATTTGTGGGCTTGACATAGCAACCGACACTATACCATCAACGTTAGATGTCAGTATTCTTATCGAGTGATTGGACAGATCAAACTATTCTTTCATACAGTTCAATATCATCAAATGAGCTAATTGTGTTGAGTAAAGTTCGAGAAGAATCGTTTACTACAAAAAAGTTTAACCAACAAAAGGTATATTTCTAAAATATATTCAATACCAGTACAAGATTTTGTGGAGGTAATGGAATTTTCATAGTCTTACATCACAAACCAATCTTAGTTAGACCACTATTGAAAACCTGAATGTACTGAAAGTCGAAACCAATGATGCGTCTAAACAACACTAGTTATCCTATATCAACTCGGAATGTTTATTTGTCCTTCTCACCTAGCCCTTCCCGTTTAGTCCAGAACACCAACATCAGCTCCTACTCTATGAATCATGTATTTCGTACAGACGTTATTATTATTATTATTTGAACACATCGATTTTGGTACACGGTGGCACCAAATACATATGCGCCACACAAATTTCATTAGATTTGTGCGAGGGCTGTGATACTGCCTGGGTGCCCAAATCGAAGCAGGTGGTTTTCCTAGTAGGCCACACAATAATTTAACTTTTCGATTATGATTATTTTTTCTCTTAAACATTCAATGATGTCTCTAAAATCCTTTTTATTTAAACAGACATTTCGATTTTGTTAGAGTTAATTAAACCGTAATTCATATTGTTTGTTAATAAGTTTTCTAAAATTTTAACCAGATAGAAGAAGGTGTAAACACTGGTACAGTTTTATATCATCGTTGGCAAACACGTACATTATCTGAATTAGCTCATCAATCAGAATGTTTAAGACAACGTGAACTAATTCGTGCAAAACGTCGTGCTGAACATGAAGCTCGACGTTTAGCGAATGAAGCTGAACGTGAAACACATCGTGCTATTTGTCTTGAAGGTATGAAACGTGCTGGTCAATTGTCAACACAGGATGAAATTAATACTGATGAAAAACCAATAAATTCTAAAATGGTTAAGTTTCAATTAGATGAAAGAACTGAAAAGAAACGTAAAAAGAAATTAGAAGTCAATGAAAAATCTAACAAATCCGTTGTCAAAAAAGCATTCAAAAGTAAGTACTTCAAGTTGAAAACATGATATTTATAGTGTAACATGTTTTCATTAATTGATGCTTATTTCAATACACAAACGTTGGTAGGAGTCACGGTTTATAAATGTGCCACACTTTGTCATCTGACTTATGTGAGGGCTAGAATACTGTCCAGGTGCCCAAATCGAAACAGATGGTTTTCTTAGAATGCCACTCTACAAGCCTTTGACCTAGAGGTAGTAGAGGCAGTAGAGCAATGTTAGAAGATCCAGTCCCATGGTAGTCAGTGATCAACAATAGTTTCGTACACCACTTGTTCCCTCAGGATTCTGGAGCCCATGTGCACCATTGGTTTGGAATCAGGGTTTTCCGACTTCCCTATTTGTATCCTCTATATCTGTCAATCCGCTTAGAACGCCGGACATTTACTTTTCTTCGTCTCTGTTTCGTAAACAACACCGCCGTATTGAGTAGGACGTTCCTGACAGTGGCTATATGAAAGCATTCGGAGTGGGAAGGCGGACTCTCCCTACGCTAGACTGTTTCTGGGTATGTGGAAGCTACTACAGATATCCTTTGTCAGTGGAGCTAAACCGTCTGGGTGTGACGCAGATACCCATCGAAAATGATGAAAAATGGTCGCACAATATCATTAATTAGTTGCAGTTAGTCATTGACACCGTTGACTCAGCTGTATGAAGGTTTGATGTTGGCTTGCTAGACTGTAGGACCTGGGTCTGATCCCCTGTTACAATGTTGTGGATGCACATTGCTATCTACAGTCAGGTTAAAATATTATACAAAGTGAATACTTCATGGTTATCCATCAAACCATTTGTTGAAATATATCTAGTCAAGATTTCTCATATTGCAGATATCCCACTAGCAAAACTGAAAAAAACATACTTTAGTCATGTAAAACCTCTACGAATTTCGGTTCCAGAATATGCATCAGTCCTAGTATGGGGCTCCTCCAGAAATCCCGATACTGATAATAATCATGCTCCTGAAGTTCTATTTAGAGACTATGACCTGTGGAGTTCAGTTCGTGTCGGGTGTGACACCACTTCAAACAATTGATGAAGGGTTACTAGAGATCATGGATCGATTGAAGCTGAACATTAACACCATTGGATGATAATAATAATACATTACTGTTTACTTATTTTCCCTTGTGTTTTAGGTAATCTCATTGTTAGGAAAAAGAAGAAATAATATCAGCAATTATTTGATTCAAATATTATTTCTGTACAAATCCATGATAGAATGGTGTATTTGTGTGTTTTTTTATTTTGTAAATATCTGTAAATCATATTTATTAAATAGAAATGTTTGTTCTTTTTCCATTGAATGGAAGGAATTCATGTGAAAAAATAAAGTCAGTCAATCAGTAACAACGTAGAACTTCGTACGTACATACATCACTTCGAGTTGCCACACCACATTAGCACAGAGATGCAATTGTCGACTCAAATCACGTAGTAGTAGAGGCGGTAAGAGTATAAGCAGTAATCGGAAAGATTAGAGTTTGGAGATGTTATTCAAGGAGTATAATCTAGTGTAATAATTTTGAAAAGAGAAATAAAGAGACAATGAGGATTCAAGAGTGTTAGGGATGCAGAGGAATATACCAATAATTATCATGTTAAGTCTAACAGTGACCTTGGACTTTAAATGTGCACTCCCTATTGATGGATATTTGTTTCGCTTGTTAAATATTGTGTAAATGTTGTTTTCTATTTTATGGTACGATGTGGTTTGTTTGTTTGGTATATAAATAGAGTATGTCTGAAATATAATGATTCATATCTCAGAGGCCGAGACTTGCGTTCTGGACTCAACTGGCTGGAGTAGACAGCGAAGCAGGGCCAATCGCTGCTCTAGGTCGTTCATTACGTGTCACAGAAGCGATCGATAAATACGCTGCGCGTATAAACTGCAATCCACCCGTTACAACAAGGAGACTAGGATTTGAGAGAACACAAAGAGTGGATGCATCTGCGGTCTGTTGAGTTTTGTTAACTGAACAAACGACTATTCACCATTCTTTATTGGTGATGAATGCTGACTATTATATAATCTACCTTTAATCACGTACTATATCCATCATGGTACACGTGAAATAAAATCGTTTCGATGACTGGTCACACTGCAACTTGATTGACTGAATTTAATCAACAGTAGAAATGTAGATAGGTTTAACATTGACTACTACTTCAGTCATACAAGACTCATTCACAGTCTGAATAGATTACTAGTAATGTCTCAGAATGAAACCGAGTAACTAATCTATGAGTTACAATGAAAACCATTAGTTCCCTAGAGATTAGGTATGACTCGGTATCGAGTGCTAACTTCCGCGAAAATCATTTCCAAGGTTTCTGGTCAACTGCCTAACATTTTATGTACCAAGTAGATTATCTGTCTGGTGTATATGCATATTTAATTGTTGTAATGACTTGTACTGATAGCTAGTCCGATGATTCAATTGTATTTCTTGATGTTTTGGTTGAATTATGATAGTATTGCTATTAAAAAAAGAGAACTAATCAACCAATTTGGGGAAAAACTTACTGCAATAAATGAACGGTGTGATATTTTTTAGAAATGCTGATTTTTTTATGGCTTAACATATTGCGTACAATATTGCAGAGTTGGGATTTTGATTCACCCATTTCGCGGTAGGACCGGTGACCTATTTTGAGAATCAACAAACTGACCTATGAACAATACCTAATATCTTAACACATTGGTACTCGAGCCCTTTCTAACCCAGTAACAAATTAGAAGGCAATGATTGGAAGAAGATTAGTTTTCTATTGTACCCGATCTGATCACGACTGAAAACACCCGTACTGTAGTGGCTTTGCTTCGTTAATCAATCACCTTGATAACCGTTATAATATAAATCTTCAACGGTGTTTAAAACCAGAAGGTAATGAGAAGCGGCAACTACAATTTATTAGCGGATAGCGCAGATCACAAAGCTATAAGCATATCGAACGAATTTGAAGCGGAGATGCGAATAAGTGTAAGTGAGCAAGTACATCGGCAGATTTATGGTCAAGTCGCATAAGGGCGCAGCAAGGACTAATAATAGGATTTGCGTACATGGTCGTATTGTATTTCTTTAATTGTCTGTGCGTTATGGTCGTCTTGCTCATCTATTTATTTATCTAATCAGGTATAAATATGTAGTTCTCCAGTTGACTCGTCTTTTCTCGCACGCGCATGTCAAACAGTCAGCTGATTAGATAATCTTCCTCTCTACAAATGAAGTTAGTTTCGCTTCGAACTCACATTTCTAGCCTCGAGGTTAAACCAGTTAGTTTATCGTTCAAGGACTGAATCAAGATTGCGAGAAGTTATCTTTTGTATACTGCTGAGTAAACGAATCAAGGGCGTAACACTTTAACCCTTTACAAAACACATATGAATCTGTAGTTGTTGTGATGTTCTATTGTTTGAACTCAATTCGCTAGGATTCAATTAATTTTTAGGTTAGTTGCAAAGGCCAATCAAGAATATTTATCAGATATGCAGTAATAACAATCTTTAACTAGGGTTCACTAAAATCTTAACACACTACTAATAATACAGTTTGTATCAATAACCTATGATATCTTTAGATGCACACTGCTGATGAGTCTCGTACTAGGACGAAACAACCGGCTACGTTTTCCATGATGGTCTAGCTTCAATTGACTTATGAACTCAACTATTAAATTACTATTATATCCACAAATCACTAGTAACTGGCCTCAAGAGGTTTCTGTTGAAGTTCTAGTGAGTAGCAGTGACTAGTGGATTTCAAACGGGTCTGTTGTGAGATAGTAAATCATTGAGGAGCATAATATCCACAAAAGCCCTTTTTGATAATATTTTTAATTACCTACTTACAAATAATTAATAGGTCGTCGTATTATTTTGTTTTAAACCTGAACCCAGTTGCTAATGCTCCACAAATAGATGAAGCTTTCAGCATAAATCTCAACGTGTTTTTACTAGACAAATCTATTTACTTCTCTTTGAAATGTTTTTTTTTCGCAGTTACGAATAGTATTCGAAAATATGCGCAGATGAGTATCGCATTAAGAATAGCATTTGTGTTCCTGTCACATTACAAACCATCGATTCGTTCTCAGTATTTAATATTTTTCCATATATGTCAACTTTATTTAGGTGAAAGTCTTGATGCCTATTACATGAACTTCTTGTTATGAGTTCATGTCCGGCTTTTCATTACGTGATTTATCGACCAATCAAAATACGACTTATACAATCTTAGAACTGTGCCAAACCAATGACGTTCGACCGGTATGAGCAGCCTAGCGTCCTTATTGGTCCTATGTCCGCCTGGCCCGTCCACTTGAGTCCAGAACACCAATACCAGTTTCCACTATGCGAATCAAATTGAATCATTTATTTCAGACATACTGGGTTTATATACCAATCAAACAGACCACAACGCACCATAAAATAGGAAATAACATTTGTACACAATAAAGCCAAAAAGTGCCTGTGAACGTGGGAGGCAGTAGTTAATAAACCGAACATAGCTTAAGAACAGTAAATCGTACAATAATAATTATAGGTCAAAATAAAGCTTATAATAAGAGGAATATAAATATACATGATCTAATTATTGAGTAGTTATACCATAAGAATGTATAGATAATATTAGTCAATTAATATGTCTCAGGAGTTACTCGTAATTTAATCTTCTATCGGATATAACGCTTCTTATTCTTAAAAATTTGTCGAATAATTATGTGTTTCCGCGCAATCTTTGAGTAATTCAGACATCTTGGGAATAAAGAAATTTCAGAAACGGCATTGGATGATAGTGACGGTACATCACAAGTGGACCGGAGTTGAAATTGTTCCATTAGACACTTATCCAGTTGTTCTAGTGGTTAATCTTTCTCGAAGGGACCTGAAGGTCCCCATTTCAATCTATAATAGGACTGTGAAAAGCCTTTATCCAGGACGAAATACTTATCCAGTGCATCCTAATTTTTAATTGAATCGCGATTGAGGGTAATCTTTAAGAAAACAGAACTTAAAGATTGAGCCAACCTTCACTAGACACCGTCTAATATATGCTTACATTCATTGTATCTAGCTGTCAGTGAATAAAGATTATTTACTAAATTAATGTCTATTTACATATTTAGGTTATGTATGAAGTAGCAAATAGCATGTTTAAGATCATTATTTAACCATCTTTGCCTTATTTCATGTTCTAAGTCAGTATCCGAAAGACCGTCAGCAAGATACTTATGATTACAAATAGTTCAATAAACCGACAATAATTTCACAATGAATTATATTATATGCCATTTGTTTAATTTTCACTGCTATCTCTTAGGCTTATTTTCTTAATACTAAGTTTTCGATTGAGATCATGAACCGATTGATGTTAGACCACCATCGAAAACTTGGAAGCACTGGACGACCGTTTCGTCTCATTGTGGGGCACCTCAGAAGTGTGCACATCCAAAATCCCGCTCGTAGAATTAAGCGTTCTCACATGCGACCAAAGGCCCTGGATCCGAATTCCGCGAGCGGGATCGTTGGTGCACACTTCTGAGGAGCCTCACAATAAGACGAAACGGTCGTCCAGTGCTTCCAAGTTTTCAATGGTGGTCTAACATCAATCGGTTCATGATCTCAATCAGAAACTTAATAATCTTCACAACCCCATATTGATAATACTAAGTTGCCAAATAATTCGTCATGATTAAATAGAACTATAGTAAAGACTATGAAAACAAGGTATGGATATTCGATAAGGTATTTTGTGATTCATTTTAGAAATTCACTTTAATAAACCTTATCAATGTCTTATATCACATTAAAGATAATAAAGAATTTCTTAGTAATGAAGACACAATCATATGAATCAATTTCAAAATAACCTTGAATGCAGTACGATTAAAGTACAATAATAATTTGCCATTTTCAAACGTTATGATGCTATTACTGATAGATACAGAGACAAAGATAGAAATACAAAATCAGTTTTAACTTATTAATGTATATACACATGATATACGAATAAATTATCAATGAACCTGATTGTATCTTCTTAATTGAGCCCTTTAATTATTCATTTCATTCATTTTGTTCATTCTTATGGTTCTTATTAGGTTAATGTTTACAAATCAACAATTAAAGAATAAGCAGAAAATTCCGATTACCAACAGTAAAAGATGAATAAACCATTATATCTATCTATCTATCTATCTATCTATCTATCTATCTATCTATCTATCTATCTATCTATCTATCTATCTATCTATCTATCTATCTATCTATCTATCTATCTATCTATCTATCTATCTATCTATCTATCTATCTATCTATCTATCTATCTATCTATCTATCTATCTATCTATCTATCTATCT